AGCAGCGGAGGTCTGATTGCCTCCCCCAGACTGTGAAGTAGCTGCTACGGTAGTGGATGAAACTGCCTGAGCCAGGCCAGTGCAAACCGATAAAATCTGTGCCAAGGCCTCCTGAAGACCCGGAATCACGATGGGCACAGTTAGTGCCTGAACTAGTGCTGCTGGAGCCTGATCCAAAGCTGGGGTAGCTGGTGGATCAACAAGTGCTTCCCTCGCTACTCTGCATCTACCACGTCCACGACCACATCCACGGCCTCTGGTGGCCCCAGTGGGTGGCACTGGTGGTCGTCCACCTCATCCGGTAGCTCGCGTCCTCACCATCTGTGAGAGAATAGAATGACAGAAGTTTAGTTCTCGAATCAACAAAGTCGCACGATAGAATTTCAAGGATGTGAAGTTTTTCCTAAAGGTCCTGTAGCCTCTCGAGGATAAATACAGACGTCTCCGTACCGATCCGCAAGACTCTACTAAACCGGCTCATGACTTGCGAGACCTATGTAACCTAGGCTCTGATACCAACTTGTCACGACCCCAACCTCGGCCGTGATGGTGCCCAACACACTGCTAGGCAAGCTTGACTAACTAACAACCTCGACCCATTTCTTATACAAATCATTATTAGCTAACACAGTTAAATTGCCAATTTATCATAATAAAAGTTTAGGACAACGAGTCAAATATGTAGAAATTCAGATGATAATACCACTACATAACCCATACAAATCTGGTGTCACAAGTCTCGAGCCTCTAGCATAAGTTTAACAGCCTAATACATAATCAGTTTAGGAAATACGGAAAAAACGAAAGGATAGAAAGGAGAGATCCGGGCTGCGGACGCCGTGCAGCTACCTCGATGCTCCCGGATATGAACTGATTGACTGAATATCCTCACTCAGCCTCTGGAACACCTGGATCTGCACGCAGGGTGCAGGGAGTAATGTGAGTACTCCGACCCAGTGAGTAATAAGCATAAATAATGACTGAGAATAAGAAATCACGGAAATCACAGAGTAATATATAATGCGGCAATTTAAACAAGTAATATGAAAGAAATAAACCAATGGAAACTAAATATGGAGATGCTACAACAAATAAGCAGTTAAGTGACAGACATATAACGTAAATCAACACATAGAAAGGTACCCTATAGTACCCGTTGTGGCGTGCAGCCCGATCCGTATATTTATCGTCGACGGCGCTCACTAAGGGTGTGTAGACTTCGAGAGCGCAATATCAAGCCATCTCGTGGCATCAACTAGGCCCTCGGCCTCATATCAATATCAACATAATATTGCTGTAGCGCGTAGCCCGATCCCATAGTATCCTCACATCTGGCCTTTGGCCATACTCAGTCCAAAAATCATATAAGCCTCTCGGGCATTTAGTAAAATAGTAGTTCTCAGCCCAAAACATCATTTAATATATCTTTTTAGTTTCAAAAATCGAGTAAAAGTGGTTGAGTTGTAAAACAGTGGAAAACGGTACGACTGAGTTCAAGTAGTAAGTCTAAACAGTGAGAAAATAGTGATAAAACTCCCCGGAGGGTTCAAATAGATGGCACAAAGCCCAAATATGGCAATCAATCCAAATAATGAGGATAACAAATATGCTTTAATCAAATACGCGATAAAAGCGTCACTCATGACGGACCAAGTCAAAATCCCCAATAGTAAATGACCCCACGCTCATCATCAAGCGCGTGTCTCACCTCAATATAGCACTGAGATAAACAAATCCGGGGTTTCAAACCCTCAGGACATTATTTACATTCATTACTCACCTCAAACCGGCTAAAGTTCTAGCTCACTATGCCCTTGCCTCTCAAATCGACCTCCTCGTGCGTTGAATCTGACCAAAACCAGAACGAATACGTCACAATATGCTAAAGGAACAAAGCCCAAGCGAAAACAATCAAAAAATGTCAAAAATCTCGAAATTGGCAAAACCCGAGCCCCGGGCCCACTTCTCGAAACTCAGAATTTTCACATCATTAGATTCTTTATCTCCCCACGAGGTCATACATATCAAAAACACCAGAATCGGAGTTCAATTGGCCCCTCAAATCCTTAATTTAAGCTCTCTTAAACTCAAGCCCTAAACCTCCATTTTTAGTCCATTAATTCCTTAAATTTCAGTCCTAATTCATGAAATACCACCATAGAAGTGTGTTTTAAGTCCAAAATCCTTTCCTTATTGAAGTTCCCTTGAAATCTCTCTTCAAAGTCGCCCAAAAACTCTAAGTCCGAAGTTAAAAATGGTTAAACCCTTTAAAAATCGCGAAGAAGAGACATATATATATTCTGCCCAGGGGTTTTCGCATCTGCGACCCCTTTACTGCACCTGCGGTACCGCATTTGCGGTCCAACCAACCACTGCTACGGTTTCTCATTAAAATTCCAAAAGTCACTTCTGCGACTGGACTTCCGCATCTGCGGCTTTGCATATGCGGCCACGTCGACCGCTTCTGCGGAAACTGCTCCCCAGCCCAAACTTCGCATCTGCGGCTTTTCCCCTCGCACGTGCGGCACCGCATCTGCGGTTCCCAAGCCGCAAGTGCGAAAACACCAGAAGCAACACACTTTCTTCAATCATTCAAGTTCAAATCTTCTCGTTAACCATCCGAATCACCCCGAGGCCCCCGGGACCTCAACCAAAAACACAAACAAGACCCAATACCTTATTCAAACTTGTTCCGATCATCAAAACACCTCAAACAACACCAAATCTACTAAATCACATCGAATTCAAGCCTAATTCTACACCGGACCTCCAAAACCAATTTTGATCACACTCCTAAGTCACAAATCACCCTCCGAAGCTAACCAAACCATCAGAACTCACATCCGAGCCCTCTAACACATAAATCAATATCCGGTTGACTTTTCCAACTTAAGCCTTCTTAAAAGAGACTAAGTGTCTCATTTCTTACCAAAATCACACCAAATGCAAACCAATCAACTCGACCACATAAAATACGGATAATGAAGTATAAAGAAGCAGAAATGGATAAAAAGGAGCGGTAACTCATGAGACGACTAGCCGGGTCGTCACAAGTACAAGTGACAAAGCTCCAAAATCTGTAAATATCAACTATTATGGCAGATTAAATGATATTGTGGAGTTAAACTACTATGATGAATTTAAGGTTGTCTTGTTTAAGTGCGATTTGGCTGATGTAACCAAAGGTATAGGAGTTAAGGAGGATGACTTAGGTTTTACACTAGTAAACTTCTCACACCTAATAGACTCTGGCGACCGAGAAAGTCATGAGCCTTTTGTCTTTGCAGAACAAGCTCAACAAGTAATATTTGTACAAGATCCTAAGGATCATAAATGGTTTGTCCCTAGGTTAATAAACCTCGAGATATTTTTTATATGGGAGAGGAAAATAGTATGCAGTTTGAATCATCAATGCAGAGCGATGCCACTGGCTCGACGCTCTTAGAAAATACTATTGATTCAGAATATTAATGTCATGATTGGGTAAGAAGCGGTGTCGATGGGATAGTAATTGATATGAATATACATTCTCGAAATTCTCCAAATGAAGGTGAAGCTCATGTTGATGGAGGAAATGACATTGAAAATGAAAGTGATCGAGAATAAGATAGATGGTAGTTATTAAATATTTTTTGTTGGTGTTATTAGAGTACTTTTAGGTATTTGATATTTGTTTCCAGTGAATTGAATACAATATTTTTTTTATTTTTAATTTAAGTCACATTCCACAGAACATGCGTGTTAGTAAGCTATGGATTATCTATTCTTCTATTGGTGGATTAACCAATATTTTTGTGAGTTTTCTATGCTTATTGTTACTTGTTTTGCTGCTATAGCTCTTGGATTATGAGATGCTAAGGTGTTTCTACCACTGGATAATAATATATATTTTCTGGTGCACCAATACCTCTTAACTCGAGGACTATCTTTGCATTAAGGCTTTGTTTTTGTATATTTTTTGTACACAAATCGCGGTTTATATATTTTTTAATAGCTTGAGATGTGGATCATGCTTATGTGCCGGTAGATCCATTGGAGTTAATCTGGTACTAGTACAACTGAATGTAGTTAGTTAACTACTTCAATTTGGCGAAGGAACTATACGGACCAGAGGTGGCAAAAGTTTGGTAATTGAACAACATGATTATGAAAGTGTACGACCTTATATTGGGCAATTGATGGATGGTCAGAACCACTCTCATACCCAATCACATGATAATCAATCTACTGAACTGTATAGTTCTTCTAGCAATGAAGTTCAAGAGAATGAAGAATCAGGTAACACTTGTTACTAAATCTTCCAGTTTCTTAATACAAAGATTATTACTCTTTGCTTTATCATTACAAGTTTGTTATAAACTCAATGAAGTTACTCAATGCAGCTCCTTTTAGTTTGCAATTTTTTAAGAGAAATTGAAATAGAAATGCCATTTCAAGGGTATAATATTTAGGTATGAAAATGGATATTCTGTATATGAATTTTATGACATTCAATTTTTTTTTTAATGTTAGTCAATTCAGAAGCTAGGAAGGTTTGTGGTCCTACACTATTAAAAGATATTTGGAAATTACCTCCAGGGAAGAAAATTGCTGTGCAATTTAATAATCGTAATCAAGCATCGAAAAAGAGGGTCGAAAGCTTGCTAGCTTTCTAGGCATTATCGCAAGAACTCCAGATCTAACACCTCTACACATAGATGATTGGCGAAGTTTTGATAAAGAAGAAAAGAAGAAATTGCTAGAGTTTGTAAGGGTATGGAGTTGTTGTTATTATTATTATTATTATTATTATTATCATTATTATTATTATTATTATTATTATTCTTGTTGTTGTTGTTGTTGTTATAGTTATTATTGCTATTATTATTGTTGTTGTTGTTGTTGTTATTCTTGTAAAAATATGTTATTGCTAAATGTTTTTTTTGGTTTTAGAAAAAGTTCTCTATCCCAACACATGGAGAAGCATATGTCTTAAAGTCAATTGGAAAAAAATGAAAAGATTACAAATCCGATTTAAAATGTGAATATTTGGAAAAATATAAAACCAAAGATGCTTTGCTGAAGAATAGACCAGCAAGTCGCATACCAAGGGATCAATGGACTGGTCTTGTTTCTTATTGGCTTTCTGATAAAGCTAAGGTATAAACTTTAAAATCTTAAAAACGCACAATTAGTTGCTTATTATTATAGTTTTTTGATTAGTTTCATTAGTTGCTAATTGTTATATTGTTTTGATTATTTTATGTTGCAATGACAGAGGCGTACCCAAGCAAATAGAAATAATAGGGCCAAACAAAATATGCCTCACACAGGAGGATCCAAAAGTATTGACACCTTAATGGATGAGCAGGTACAAGTATAATTACAAAATAAAATATTTTAAAACTCTTTTATCATACAGATTTGACATCAAATTTATTGTAATAGGCCAAGAATTGTATAGAGCCTACACGAGCAAAAATATTTATACTAACACACAAAAAAACGTAAGGATGGTAGACTATTGGATGAGGAGTCTGCAAAGGCAGTTGTAAGATTTCTTCTTTTTCTTCCTTATAAAAAAAGATTTCTTCTCTTTCTTTTATATCTTGAACTAGGAAATAGATTAAAAAAGGAAAACTTAAAGAATAACTGAATTGAAAATTGAATTTTTGGTGTATTAAATTTATATGTATTGTTAACTATGGTATGCCCTTAATTAATCAGGACATGATGAACGAAAGGTTGAGGGATACTGACGGATCAAATGACCAGCCTCCCCGCAGTGTTGCTTGGGAAGGAGATGTGTATTCCCAAGTGCTTGAAAATGATAAAAGTGGGTATGTTCGTGGTTTAGGACTTGGTCCAACTCCTTCTATGTTGTGGGGCAGTAGATCTTCCTTAGGAAATATTGTTATAGAGGATTCGTCTGATGAGGTTGTACAAAAACTAAAGCACGAGATAACAGAGTTAAAAGAGTTAAATGAAAAACAAAATGAAGAAATGAGTTTTATAAGACAAGAACTATCATGGATGCGGCAAGTCATGAGAAAAATTGCTCCAAATGAGTTACCTATGCCTCAGAATATCAATGGAGTCTCAACTGGACAGGCAACTCAATTTCAAAAGTTTTAGGCGTATATAGGCTAAGAAATGCTTGTTCCGGTTAGTAGCTATATATAGACTTAAGAGTTATGAGGAAAGTTTCACTTCTTGTAACTTTCAAGGTTTGTTATAAAATATGTGTGTGGGTATGTATTTGGTAGTTTTCTTTTTCTTGTTTGTTCACTGTTACAAATACTGTTACTTCTTGTACTCTGTAAACTTTAGTGCGTACTAAATATACATACAACTAAAATAATTTTACGTCTAAATATTTATCAGGTCGTTGATACCAACCATGACCATGAGCAAATACCAGAATCACCCAATATGCATAATATAGCTGGAAATACTCCGTCGTCTCGTGTATTTTCTATGCTTTCACATAAACTCTTTTTTGTTCTATTCATTTTTTCTTTCTATAAGTGAAAATCATTATGTAAGAAATATATTAATGCAAACCTTAATGGACTGTAATATAGGATTATTAGTTTGTTGCCCTTGATGTATGCTTAGTTTTAGCCAATAATTTAAATTTCTAGAGTATGTCTAGCAGCAACTAGTTTTTGGATCAAGGAACAAGAGAATATTTTTACCAATATTGTTTGGCTTTTGCTTAATCTAGCCTGTGGAAAATAATTCCCTCAATACTCAATCCCTTTTGTCCTTCATATCACCCAACAAAGAAATTTCAGTTTCTACTTTGTCACTCTTGCAGAGAGCGTCGATCAAAGTATTATATATGACAGTGTTTGGTGGCACATTTGTAGAAGAACACATATTCTGGAATATTTTCATAGCTTCATCAACATTTCCACCTAAACAATATGCATTAGTGCTCCATATGTAACAACATTAGGAAAATAACCATCATCAATCATCCTCTTCATAACTCTATGGGCAATTGCAAATTGCTCCTTCTGGCTGAAATATGATATCAAAGTGTTGTAGGTGTAGCGATCAGGTTTCTCATGCTTGCACATTCCACCAAGCAAAGTATTCAGAGAAATCACACTTGGCACTAACCCGCCCTTTTTCATCTGGTCAAAAAGCTCGTATGACCTTCTCAATCTCGCCTGCTTTGCAGAAACCATCTATCAAGCAATAGGTAACAGTATTAAGTTCATATCCGCTCTCCAGCCTCATCTTTTTCTTCAACTTAAACCCTTCTTCTTGCCTCCCTACTTTAGAAAGCCCACCAATCAATGTATTGTAGAGAACAAGGTCTGGCTTAACAAGAATGCCATCACTTTCACTGCCTCCCATCACTTTCACTGCATCATCGACCTTGTAACTTTTGCATAAATGATTGTTGAGAATCCCAAATGTCACAACATCTGGTTTACATGTATATATTACTTTGCCTCGCTATTTGTCCAGAATTGGTGTACATGTATATATTCCTTTGCCTCGCTATTTGTCCAGAATTGGTGTACATGTATGTGCTTGTACGAGTTATTGTATTTTAGATAGGACTATCATCTAAATAATAGAAATAACAAATGAGTAAAAGGAGATTCATTTTTCACATTACTTATTTTGTTATTTCAGGTTAAACAGTACGATGTGAAAGATTTTAGTACGAGGAAGATTTGCAGAATTGTTTGAGGGCTTCTACTCTTTTGTTATTATGAATATTATATAGAATTAGCGATAATAACATTGGTTATTTTGTTTGAACAATGCAATTTATCTTACATGTCGTTGATATATTAGTAAGAATTAATACTTTCTTTTGTTTTTCTTGATTGAATGAAATATATTATGTTTTTATGAGTTAAGTAGCGTATTTTATTAGCATTTTTGCAGTTTAAAGATAGTTTGATTTTTTATTTACCGCTAAAAGGGTATTTTTAATCGAGAACTAATTTGATTTAGCATTTGTTATAGTTGCAGCTACACAATTGCCATTATAGCCTATGACTTTTAGTGGAAATTTAATTCAATTTAATGTGACTTTTCGCGGCAATATAGTTTGATTTACTGACCAAAATATTAGACATTAAAGTGCAAATTAAGCCTACTATGGAATAGATTTTGTAGCCATTGAATTGCCACTAAATATTTGACATTAAAGCATTCTACTTTTAGCGGCAATATAATTAGATATATCGTCCAAAGAGAATGACCATTGAAGCACAATATAAGCCTATTATGAAATGGATTTAGCAGCCATTTAATTGCCGTTAAACTGTAGCCGTTAAAGCCCGGGACCTTTAGCGGCAATAAAACCTAGATTTACCGACACTTCATCGGATGGCCGCTAAAGGCTTTAGCGACGCCAGCAACCACGGCTAAAAATGAATAGCCGGTAAATCATTTAGCGGCAATATCTATTGCCGCTAAAAGGTTTTTTTGCCGCTAAAGACCATTTTTGTTGTAGTGTCATTAAAAGAAGTGATTTGTTAATGAAGTAAGTTGTTAAGGATTGGCTTGCCTAGCTCACATTAGTAGGCATCATCACGACTCCCGAGGGTGAAAATTCCGGGTCGTGACAAGTTGGTATCAGAGCCCTAGGTTACATAGGTCTCACAACTCACGGACAAGCTCAGTAGAGTCCGAGGGATCGGTACGGAGACGTCTGTATTTGTCCCCCAGAGGCTATAGAGTTAGGAAAATCTCACATTTGTTCTTTCTTGTCGTGCGGATTTGTTCCTCAAATGCTAATTGGATTTCTACTCTATTCTCTCACAGATGGCGAGAAGACGCACTTCCTCATCTACCGCTCAGTAGCCCGAGCCCCCAGCATCAGCTCCTACTAGGGGCAGAGGCCGAGGCTGTGCTAGAGGCTGAGGTAAGGGCAGAGTTTAGCCCCGACCAGCAGCACCAGTGGCGGAGCCTCAGGTTGATTTTGAGGAGGAGGTTCTGGCCCCAGCAATTCCGGTGGGCCCAGCTCAAGTCCCAGAGAGGTTTATTGCTACCCCAGTTCTTCAGGATGCTTTGGTCCAATTGGTAGGCCTCATGGAGAGTGTCACCCGAGCAGGTTTGCTTCCTGTAGCACCAGCCACTTCTCAGGCTGGAGGAGGGGCTCAAACTCCTGCTACACGCACTCTGGAGTAGGTAGCTCCTCAGATTCAAACTCCAGCAATTCAGCCAGTTGGAGCAGTTCAACCGGATGTAGTAGCTCAAACCGGTGATGGAGCGGCTATGTTTGCCGATGCTTTGTGGAGGCTGGATAGGTTCCCCAAGCTCTTCACTACTACTTTCAGCGACGCTTCTTCTGAGGATCCCCAGGATTTTCTATATAGTTATCACGAGGTTCTCAGGAACATGGGTATTGTTGAGACCAATGGGGTTGATTTTGCAACATTTCACTTGTCTGGATCCGCCAAGACTTGGTGGAGGGATTATTGCTTAGCTAGGCCAGCTGGGTCGCCATCTTTGACTTGGGAGCAGTTTACAGTATTGTTTCTGGAGAAGTTTCTCCCCGTTACTCAGAAAGAGGCCTATCGGAGGCAGTTCGAGCGCATCTAGTAGTGTTCCATGACGGTCACCCAGTATGAGACCAGGTTCATCGACTTAGCTCGCCATGCTCTTGTCATACTTCCTACCGAGAGATAGAGAGGGTGAGGAGGTTTATCGATAGTCTTATTCAGCCGATTCGTCTTCAGATGTCCAAGCAGGCCGGGAGTGAGATCACTTTTTAGGAAGCGACCAATGTGGCCCGCAGAGTTGAGATGGTTCTGTCGCAGGGAAGTGGTTAGGGGTCGGATAAGAGGCCCCGTCATTTAGGTAGATTCAGTGGTACCTCATCTGGAGGTAGAGATTCATATGGTAGAGGCCATCCTCCTAGGCCCTTTCACTTAGCTCTTCAGGCTTTCCACGGTGCTTCAGGTGGCCATGTTCCTCTGATTCAGTATTCTGATCAACAGTCCTTCAGTGCACCACCAGCACCTATCAGCACATCGCCGCTTCAGAGTTTTCAGGGTCGTCAGCCCCAGCAACCGAGGGCTTGTTTTACTTGTGGCGACACGAGGCACATTGCCAGGTATTGCCCTCGGGCTTCGAGCAGTTCTCTGCATTAAAGTTTTTGTGCTTTGGTTCAGGCACCAGATGTTTCACAGCCCGCCCAGTCAGCTAGAGGAACGGGTAGAGGTGCTAGAGGTGGAGCTCTGGCCGCCAAAGGTGGAGGCCAGCCAGCAGCAGGCCATCCCAGAGAGGTAGTTCAGGGTGGTGGGGCCCAGCCCTGATGTTATGCTCTCCCAGCCAAGCCCGAGGCTGAGGCTTCAGATGCAGTTATTACAGGTATGGTTCTGGTTTGTGATAGAGATGGTTCAGTGTTATTTGATCCAAGGTCTACATACTCGTATGTGTCATCTTATTTTTCACCGTATCTGGTCATGCCTAGTGATTTGTTGAGTATTCCTATTTATGTGTCTACACCGGTGGGTGATTCTATTGTGGTAGATTGAGTCCATCGCTCTTGTGTAGTTGTGATTGGGGGTCTTGAGACTCGTGTGGATTTATTGCTTCTAGACATGGTCGATTTTGATGTCATATTGGGGATGGACTGGCTATCACCTTACCACGCTATCTTGGACTATCATGCCAAGACTATGTACTTAGCTTTATTGGGTATGCCTCATTTAGAGTGGAGAGGGACTCCTGGTCATTCTACCCGTAGCATCATTTCTTATGTGAAGGCTCGACGTATGGTCGAGAAGGGGTGCTTGGCCTATTTAGCTTATGTTCATGATTCTAGTGCGGAGGATTTCTCTGTTGATTCTGTGGCCGTAGTTCGTGAGTTTCCTGAGGTATTCCTTTCAGACCTGCCGGGTATGCCGCCCAACAGGGATATTGACTTTTGCATTGATTTGGCTCCGGGCACTCAGCCCATTTCTATTCCGCCGTATCGTATGGCCCTGCCTGAGTTGAAAGAGTTGAAGGAGCAGTTGCAGGATTTGCTTGAGAAGGGTTTCATTATACCTAGTATTTCGCCTTGGGGTACGCCGGTGTTGTTTGTTAAGAAAAAGGATGGTTCGATGAGAATGTGCATTGATTATCGGCAATTGAACAAGGTCACTATCAAGATAAGTATCCACTGCCAAGGATTGATGATTTGTTCGATCAGCTTCAGGGTGCCAAGGTATTTTCAAAGATCAACTTGAGATCTGGCTACCATCAGTTGAGGATTAGGTCATCCGATGTACCTAAGACAGCTTTCCGCATTCGATACGAGCATAAGTTCTTGGTCATGTCATTTGGGTTGACAAATGCCCCAGCGGCTTTTAGGGATTTGATGAACCGAGTGTTCAGGCCTTATTTGGA